GGCAACCGCCGCCGAGAGTAGCGGAGCGTGCCGAGAGAACGAGTGGCTGGAGGAAGAGGAGGAGGAGGAGGAGGAGGAGGAGGTGGCGGCGGTGGTGGTGGAGGAGGCGGAGGGTACGAACGAGAAGGATAAGTCGTGATACGCACCTCGGGCTCCGGGTAATCCTTCGTCGGTGACGGCGGCAGCAGTACTGGCTGTCTCCTCGCTGGTTTCTTCCTCGATTCGCTTCTTCTCTTCCTTCCGGGGGCGCTTCACCCCCAGCAATTTGTGCCCGGAGGCTCTTTGAAATGTGGCGCCACCGCGCCTCCTGTGCAAGAGCGAGCGAGCGAGCGAGCAAGCAAGCGAGAGAAAAACAGAGCGAGCGAACGAGAGAGGGTGGGAGGAACTGACGGTGCGGACTCGCGCGATGCTCGTGGGCGACTGGCCTCCGCGCCGAGTCGCCAACACCCCTGCACCCCAAACTCTCTCGCTCCCCACTGTCCGTCTCTCCCACCGACATTGTGTGCGCCGTCCCCTCGCTTCCCTTCGCCACACATCTCATCGCCACACTCCCCTACGGATCCCTTACCCCCCTCCCCACAACTCCCCTCTTCCCATCCCTCCCTTCGCCCACCCCTTCTCAACTCTCATTTTAAACATCGCAAGAATGCAACATGACCGCAGCATCCGAATGATGGCTGTGTGGAGGAGCGCGGGGCGAGGGCACGAAGGTCCTTCGGCCGGAACGAGCCTCGCGGCGCGCGCGCGCTAATTCATCGACGCGCGGCCACGGCGCGTACGTATGCAACACTAGGAAGTTCCTGTATCCGGAGGGGCTGCGCCTACGCACGTGACACCGATACGCCCTCGCATCCGTTTCGCAGGTTCGCGGCTCTTAGCTGGATACCCGGAGTGGTAAGGCGGGAGGGCGGGGGAACGCAATGCCGATCGTGCGAGTTAAGTGGCCGAGGTGTCGCGGATCCTCGAGCCTTCGACTTTGCGTCAGAGGCTCGTCCTCAGCCGCTCTCAAACCTCCACTTCCCTTCATTCTGCGATCGGCAGACCTAGAGTAAGACTTTTTCCAATGTCTATCCGCTCGTTATTGAGATGCCCTGTTGCATTTGGCCATATTGACGAATGGTGGAGGAAAACGTTGGTATGTGGCATGTAACGAGAATAATCCGATATGTAATTAATGCCGATTTATCCTGGCTAGCGGTGTAAAAATAATGCGAATCGCTTACGATCGTTTCGCAGTCTCCAGCTATTAAATAACAATTATATAAATAAAAATATCGCACCTCCTGCAGATTAACGGGCAAACGGTCATTCACGTGGAATATTCAAGGGAAATTGACATTTTTCAATCAGCTATAGTTCAATCCGATCGTTCAAATCTTCCTATCCGAGCCCGTTAATTCGATATGCTTTTTTTTTGTTCCGCGCGATAAAGCCACGTCAATTTTGGAATGAAAATGCAAATGAGAAAACATACGCACACCGAGTTTATAATATTTAATGTTAATCTGGGCTTTGTATGTATGATCCATTCCGCTTCCCGAACGCACGATGGAATACACGAGAGCTTTTGTATTGAGATCGGAATATTGTTTTTTGTTCAAATTATACCATAATGATAAATTGGATCGCGCGAATAGAATTCCCACGTTCTTATCGTCGTCTTATCGTAGCGGGTCAATCCATAATATACGTATTTTTGTGAATTTGTCATAACGACAAAGTACATCTTATTTTGTTATTTCTCGGGCACTTTGAACATCATGACAAGGCAATATAGCATCGACTCTTTCGAGATGAAATTTTTCAATACTCAAAAGGATAAGTTCATAGTAAAGTATTTACGATCAGTAATAATATTAGCGTCGCACGAGTGCGTCGCACGAGTCTAACATTTTTTTTTTTTTTTTTTTTTTTTCATGTTTTTTCAAATAAGTGCATAACTTTAGCGAGATACAATAAAAATTGTGAAACCCGTGTTAATCAATCTGTTCTCAATATTCTTTTCGTCACAAATATTATTTCCACCTTCAATGTCAACGGGATACGAGACATTAGTCGAATATAAAATGACATTGATTTGGTGCTTCGTCAGCCAATTGAGTCGTTGAACGGCCGTTAATAAACTCTTATAATCTTGCGAATTCTTCACGTCGGCTTTACAGAACATTGGCACTTTTATTCTTGTTTTTCGTCACGAGCCATTTGAAGTATTGAAGCCACCACAACCACCGTTACGCCCGAGCTTACGATTACGTATTTATTTATTTACTTATTTACGATCCCTGGGCAATCTCGCCTCGAAAGTTGGCTAATCCAATATACGCTCGGTCGGTCGGAGCTCGTGTTCGTCGGGAAAATATCGTCGCCGCTAACGTCGCGTAGATAAGAAGCCAGTCAATTATGCAGATTGAGTTAATGAATGGACTGGAGGAGGAATTTCAATTGCCGAGGGACGAGGATCGACTTGAGCCCGACGGTATTTTCGTAGCTGGTGGATAAGAGGGCGGATAACAGCGGATCGAAGGGAGTTGCAAATTGCGGAACTCGATAGAAAAATGGCCGGATCGTGGCAGAAACGCAGGCGTGGTTTTGCTTGTAACGCGAGGATGACAAAGTATTCGATGCTCGCCCGCTGTGTCGTGTCAATTCCAATGTTTCTCGTTAACTCTGGATCCACCACCACCACCAGCCCACCTCCGTGTCTCTCGCGGACGAGTTTCTATACACGGACATCTTCCTCAAGAGACACTCGTTCCCAGGGCGCCATTATCCGTCCCACCACCCCTCCCGCGCAAACCCTCGTTTTCTCACACTCCCCTTGCCACTTCAATTATTCGCACAGGACACTGCAAAACTGTACGATTATTAAAGCGCTCTTGCACTACTTATTTCTCCTTTAAACGACTGCCATTCCTAGAGGAAACGAGATCAGCTTCTGTCGCGTGCCAGTTTGTCTTGCATTTGCGCGTACATTTGTCAACTCGCGATTTAAAACATCAATGCTTAATGTTATTCGACTCGTTCGAATAGTTCGTTCGTTGGATATTGGCTGAAAAATGTGGGCCTTCCACCATTTACGATTCGAATCGAATCGATGAATTTCATCGTTAGAAAGCCACAAGGAGCGTAAGGAGAGCTTATTGCTCCTAAGTTGTGGAGTTACGTGGAGATACACGCCTTTGCGACGTTCAGATCCTTATGATTTCAGTCTCGTTATCTTCGTAAGTACGCGACTTTTCATTTAGAACTCTCGGCTCGCGCTATGCACGACAAAATTCTCGCCTTCACGCAAAAAATTTAAAACTTCAAAAGTTAATCATGTCAATATCTATCTTCCTTGTCCACGATTTTCGGCCACTGGCGACATAATAGAACGAAAAACCTTTTCGATTCCTCTTATTAGCCGAGCGACTGCCGAGTCATAAATTGACATTACAGTCGCTATTATTCGTTACATTTACGTTACGTAAGCAATAACAAACGCCATTAATAATAAATGACTTCTGTTAATAACTATTCGATTAAACTTTGAATAACTGTGCGTTAGTTGTTTGGGCAAATCGTTGTGATAAGAGTGTTTCGGCGATAGTCGACGCAAAGGCCGTTTAATATTAACTATCCTTAAGCATTCAGTATTTGTCGACAATCGTCGAAATTAAAAAAAAGGCGGAAATTAATTAATTAATATTAGAAGATCCGTACGGTAATGTCCGTATCGTAAGCTGTCGTCGTCGATGTCGAACCCAATAGGTTTCTTCACCGCGAGTTATCACGAACCTCCTATCGACGGACTATTACGTAGGCCTCAACTGCATATTCCGAGGAATTTGCTAATTGCGATAGGGGGCCCGACAATGGCAAACAAGCGAATTACTAGCGATCGAACACGAAGACATTACCATTAAAGTTCGCGTTGAACTTGCCGACCAATCGAGTTACCTTAACAATCACACTATGTCGTCCGACGAAATATTTTCACGCTTGCATTATGCAAAACGTGTATATTATTTATTGTATTGTAGTAATTATCTAAATTATCGAATCAACATCGGGGTGTTGTGTGGTAAGGAAGTGGGTGGTTAGGCGGGTCGACGGAGAGTAAAGGGACGCGAGCCATCGAGCGCAAAAGGTCTCAATCGATCTCCAAGTCGCGTTGGCGATTCATCCGGTGCATACCCGGTGTCATTGACAATCGGGACCGAAAGGTTCCTCGAATCTCATGGGCATTAGCCGACATTGGCCTCGGGTAAAGCGGGAAGCGCCGGGCGCTTGACTCGCGGGTCCGACTACTGGCCCATTCGCGGTGTGACACGCGTAGGCGAGAGGAGACGTTGCTTGGACCCGTTAGATGGGCGTTGCTGTATCACGTGCGTGCGCATTGGGAAACGCGAGGCTCGACAGGTTAACCGGCCGAGCGGACGGACACCCCTTCGCGGCGATTGATGGGCCAACGAAAATGACGTAGTTTACTCGCACTCGGGGGCATTGCTCATTTTTAATGCTAACTTGGCCGATTTCAGCCATTCGAGCATTATGGCTTTCGTACATTGTTGTGGAACGAAGAAAGTCGATGCCGTCGTGGCCGTAAAATGACGTTCTATCTATGATTCGGGTATGTTGATGCAGTGTGGAGGTTATGATTTGTTGCGAGCTATTGGATAGGTAATCTGTTGAATTAGGAATCTGAGCGGTTTAACGAGGTAGCGCGATGAGAGGCAGTGGTGGTATGTTTGATGTCCATGAGTTTGGTAAGCGAATGCGTCGTTTCATCGATGGGAATTACTCGTACCGGAAGATTCTTGTGTTCGCCGTGATTGTTGGAGGTTTCGTTTTGTATGTCGGCCCGTCGTTGGTTCAGTGGCTGTTTTCTGGCAGTGGAGAGTCTATCGAAGGTAAGGCGTGAAAAAGACTTGAGCTGAGCTTCTGCGTCCATGATTATTTAACAGTTTATGTTGTCGTGTAGCTTACGAGGAGCGCTGCATCAATGAGAAACTCGCGGGCTTCTATTTTGACTCCGTCGAGTACAATGCAAATATTTTATTCCATCCTGCGAAGGAGGATCAGCGACTTTACTTACCTTACGTGGGCAATGGAATTTTTGGCATTCCGATACAATCGCAATCCTGGCTGTACATAAAGAATGGCAGGAGTTTGTCTTTGCCAGTAAAGTGGCAGCCTCTCATTATTTATCAAGTGTCGGAGGATACTTTGTATAGAGAGGCGACTATCACTCATTACACAAAGGGTATCGTTTACAAATATCAGTGCTTCAGAGATGGCTATCACACGAGTTATCAATATTACGCTCACCGAGATCTCGAAGGCATTTTCGTTCAAGCGATAAAGATATCAAATCCGTTAAGCATCTCCTTGGAGTTACCGTTTAAATCGCAAGCATCGCTTCATTGGAGCGAATCTCTTGTCGAGCCAATAAAGTATAAGGGCTTAAATCTATTGTGTTATTAACGTGATTGTCCGAGCTGGATGAATCGATTATATTAGGGTGTACTCTTTTGTTGTTTCAGCATACTAGTCGAGCGTGCCAATCACGAGTTTAATTTGGAATCGGGATACGTCCCTGTGCCCAATTCTAACAAAATTGTAGCTGTGACCATTGTTTATCAAATTGTGCAAAAAAGAATACAAGTTAAGGCAAGAGGATCTGTTAAAATGGAATTCTTAACCAGTATAAAATATAGCGAACCAATTGAAATGGAACAGTACACTCGTGAAAGGAATGCAATTAGAGAAAAAGCTATTGACGTAAGTTTATTACTATAAATCAATACTCGCAGAAATTTTACAGTGTTATATTATACTGCACTGATCAGACTTGTTTAGTTCTTGATAATGTTTACGAATAATCCATTATTACGATAACATTATCAATCTATTATAAATGAAATATTATTTGCTTAATTACTTTATTTCAAATTTTTCTCTTCTCTAGCACATGAGAAAAGCTCTCGTTAAGCAACGCAGTCAAGGTTTGAAGGAAAGCCACGTAATTGCTTGGCAGCGTTATTGGCACACTGGCTTCAGGATAAGCGATTCCAAAGCGAAAGGAGCAATCAATGGATACAAAATAAATTCAACAATTTATTATGTACTGAGTCAGGTACCAAAAGCAACGGGAGATGTAGAGAAGAGTGTTATAAACAACGAGGGCTGCTATCGAGGACATCATACTTTGTAAGGGCTTACGTTCCGCTATATGTTAAAATGAAATATTCGTACGTGGCAACGAAATTCTGTATTTGAATTTTTTTCTATAAATTTATCAGAGATGCACCCCGTCTATGGAGAGATACCTCAACAATTGATATGATAAATGAATTGGTTCGAGCTTGGTCCATAACTCTTGAAAAACAGGGATGCTATAGATTAATGACTGGTAATCCTTCCGCTGTATTGCAAGCTATTGTCTTAAGTCTTGGAGGCTTAAGATTTAGTAACCAGCATCTAGAGTTTAATATTGATCCTCAACATTTACACAGAGATTTTTTATTTAGGTAAAGTATAATATTTTTGGCGATGCAAAAAGTAGGGTTACAATGCATTTGCTTTTCATAATGAAAGATGATTATCGCTCTACGCTTACTATTTAAATAAGTACTGTTAAAATATTAAGTATTTTACTATTTATTACTATTTTACTATTTACATACTATTTCTCTATTAAGCTTTAACATAGAAATTAAGAAATAAGAATAAATCTTGATAAATTACATTATAGTACATATACAAAGCATTACCTTCAATACCAAACTATTTGATTGATGTTAACATTATAATATTTTATCTTAGAAATGGTGGAAAGAAATAATCGACAATACCAGTATATTCTATATTTAATGAAAATACATGTATTCTTAGACGTCTTTTACATTAATATAAATAATTTGCAGAAGAATAAGTTATGGAAATGTCACGCATCTGAACATTTCTGTTAACGTTAATGAAGATAATCGAGCAGTTCTTGGTGTAGCTATTGACAGAAGTGACAGTGTTTATTTTGGATGCGATGCTGGCTGTTTAGATGCACCGGTACCACTCAGTCAAGCCTATACAAGCTTTCCAGTGAAACTTACCAAGCCGTTAACGGCCATTTTATATATAACTTCAGATTATCACCATATGCAGGACTTGCAAAATGCTCTACACGTTCATGCAGTTGACGAAGGTAGGAAATTTTCAAATTTCAAAACCTCCCAGCTCTTTAATGACTCCTCCATTCTGGCTTTAATGAATTTATAATAAATCACATTACAGCTCCGGCACACGACCATCACGTTATGGCGTTACATAAGCACGGACATCAATTAGGTGGCTTACCTACCTTTTTCTGGGTGAGCATATGTTTTCTAATCATCGTGTTCCACTTGTTTCTCTGTAAGCTCATTGTCTCGGAGTATTGGGATCAAAAGGATCGTGGGAAAGTACGATATAGTAAACTATAAGAACTGTAAATAAATTTTATAACACTCTTGTTATTTATCGTGTAAAGATAATATATTTTTACACAGTTATTAAAAAATGAGAGAGATGTACAGGCTGCGATATTGTTATGTCTATGCACGAGTGATGATCGTTCAATTTATGAATATTTATATGATTATTATATTATTTTTGTATTCGATCAACGCTTCGTTTCACCAGAATGTTTATTATCAATTTAATTAATAAAATAATTATGTTTTAGAATTTGAAAAGTTATATGACAGGTGAGGTAAAATAAGTTCTTCAATGCAAAGGATTTTCGAACTTTTTGCAGTATTTATTTAAAGAAACATAATTTCAATTTGTATAAATCACATGTGAAGTACATCAAAACTATACAAATGTTAAAATTAAAACAAATCTGTGGTGCAATAAAGTACAGTAATCGTAGGATGTATTCTAAATCTACGCAAACAATTAATAGTAATATTTAATGAAATGGAGAAGGTTATTTTTTTTATAAATAGCTTTTTACATTTTTTTAGCTTTATTTTATATTCCACGTTCATACATACACACATATATATATATATATATATATATATATATATATATATATTTGACGTATACGACCAGTCGTTAACATATTTTATTTCTTTTGCACAAGTAATATCAATTGTCGAGTATGTTGTTTTTTTATTTGATAAGTTTTTAATTGCTCTTTTCCATAAATCTCTAATGAACAATCACACACTAACAACCGATTAAATTCATTTTTATAACACTTAAGTCTAGATGTTTTTTTCTGTTTTATTTGTATTTCTAAAACGACACAGCGAGTTTCTGCTCGATATTTTTCTAATTTTTTTTCTTAACACATTTCTATTTCGTCTTAATTTAAAAGTAAAAAAAATCAAACGATATTTTGTAAAATTATCATACGTGATTATAATATGAAAAGAAAAATAATACTAATAGTTTGGATATTTGTTAATTACACGTCCACATTAGGCCCCTGATTAGAAAATACAATGTAAATCGACGAACATGATGCGTATTAGGAAAAATTCTGTCTGCTCATATAAATTTATAAATCTTCTTTAATTTTAAAACGAAATTTCATAAATTTGATAAATTTTTTTAATCTGAGTTGAAATTCTGAAGATTATTTTGAACGAAAAGATATATTTCATTGCAACTACGCATGGTGCAGCGAGAATATTGCACTTATTATCATTTTCTAGTCGGGGGTTTTTCAATCTTCAATAATAATTGTAAATAATAAACGCGCGTATTTGACACTTTTTAATTCAAACATTTCTTCATTTTCCAGATGTCTTTAATTTTTCTTATTTACGAATTTTTTCATCTGGTGAATAAATAAATTTCGTCAGCTTACCGATACCATTATTTTGATTATTATGTAACTTACAGCATTTATTAATAGAGATTCATTATACTTATTATTTAATAATAAACGGTACTTTATTTATGTACATACTTTACACAGAGTCTCTAAGTGAAAGAAATGATTGGCCTACGATTTATTTATTTATACTCCTAAAAAGTATAAATTGTATGAATTTAACCAACGCGTGTGCGTAAAGTGCGACATGAATAGATTACGGTTAATTCATTTCACGATATGAAGACCGCAATATGTTAATAACTATATATATGTACATACAACTTATATATATATATTAAATGTAAAGTTCAATCATAAGAATGAATATTTTTGCGTATTAGAATACATTTTTTTCTTTTTCGAGAGTTTTGGGATTACATTTTTCTCCAGAATTAAAACTTTATCGGTGAAATCAAGATAATATCAATTATTTTTCTTGCAAAAATTATATTGCTTATTATGAATAATGTGTTAATGTCATTTTTTGTTGTTGTTTTTTCTCTCTCTCTCTCTTTTTTTTTTAATAAAAAGCTGTTTGGTTTACATTACATATTTACAAAAGTACCCTGGTAAAAATTCGTCCAAGTTTAGTTCCAAGTCTGATGTCTTTATTTCTTATTAAATAGAGCATTACGTAAAATTATAACATTAATTTTAAATTTATAACTGTTGTGAAATTTTTATAGGTAAGTTTTGGTAAATATATTAAGATATTTATGCTACAACATAGTTAAAAAATTAACTTTACTTTAAAATAATAAATTATATTATTGCTGGCAATATAATTTTTTTTTTTTTTTTAATGTAATATATGATATGAATTGCCTATTATTTAACGTTATGGTTGTGCAAAGAAAAACAAAATAGATCTGACACACACACGCCCACGCACACGCCCACGCACACGCACACACACACGCATATATATATATATATATATATATGCTAATATTATGGAAAAAGTATTTCGATAATTAAGTTTGTGCAATGCTTGTAGGGGTGGGCGGTTAACTTTTGTTTGTCATCTTTTTCTACGTGTATATATAGCAGCTATCGTATGCTTTATAACAAGTTTCAAAATTTGAAAGGAAAATGTCCAAAGTTATAAATAAGAAGGTTGCTTTAATAGTGATTAGTGACAAAAAATACACGATGAATGTTTATAAAACATAAGGCATCGACATTGAAAGTTATGCGAATGTTTAAAATTACTATGGTAATATGTAAAATTAAAAATAAAAAATTCCTGGCTAATAAATTTTAGAACAACTAACTTGAGATAATTTTTATTTTCTTATACATTTAAATTGTAGGTAAATAAAATATGCTCTTATCGCACATTTAATAACGCAATAAAGTATTTAAATAATATCACAATTAAAAATATCAAATTTAAATATTTATGTATAAAAGTTTTGTAAATATTTCAATTGTTTGACTTTTCCTAGATATGAACAAGATTTGTTTCTATTATAAATGTGATAAACTACGCGAATTTCGACTGGGTACAGAGTTAAAATGTACACGTAATCCTTAATCTGTTTATCTGTTTTTGAAAAGGTCTTATTTTTTCCATTTGAAAATATGCTCTAACTGATATTGACTATTATAATTGTTCATTAAAGTCCATATATCGTTTCAGTGCGTTAACACAAAATCATGTTAATGTAAATTTTCCGAACGCTTAGAATATCCTAATTGTCACCTAATTTTTTTTTCTTTAAATTACTTGAATGCACTCGAGATTCCGAAGATTTCGAGTTTTGGCCTATACTTCTACAACTACTTTTACATTATCACCAAAAGTCTTTTGTATTTTTATTCATTATTATATAGAGGAGATTGCTTCTATTTATTTCAAGCTTTTTTCCCATCGTGCTTACGCTATGTAGTTTTTATAGGCAATATAATCAGCTTTACAAGTTTTTCGTGTTAATGCTATATCTTACTTCATACAACTATATACACACATATAATTACGCTTAAATAATGCCTCGACTTGTTTAGTACTTTATACAAACATCGGTAGCTATTATTTCACCGTCATCGCTTTATTTACAGTTTTAACGACATTTCGTTTTTGCTGTTTTGCTTTTGATTTGTATGTGGCGATGCACACTGAATCTACGTCCGCCAATATTTTTATAATATGGTTATTTGACTAACAGGTACGTTTACATCAAGCTAAATTATTTCATATTCATTCATTATTATTACATTTTTCATTATTAGACGACAATGCTTAGACAATGTGCGCAAAAGATATTTTATCGTACAGTAATTTATTACAATAAATCATACTAACGAATTTGATTTTAATGAAAATGCGAATTTTGCTCATTCATTGAAATACTGTGGCATACAATTGCACAATAGTTAAATCGATTATTTAATCAATTAATTAATATCTATGAAAAATAACAGCATTAAACTCAGCGAGTACACTGATATTACGCACTATATTACACATTACACTACTTATAATTACGCTTTTCTGTAGAGACCTTTACATAATTTATATTATGCAAAAGTATTCAAGTACATTGAGTAAATTCACTGGAATTTACTATTCGCTATTCGTTATTCTAATACGATTTTTTGTCTATAAAGAATTTTCTATTTCTACTAATAAAATATAGTAACTATCTATATATAAATTTATTGAATATGTGCACTGATTTTAATGCTGTAAATCTTGTCGCGAGAAAGAGCCGTAAAAATGAAACGAAACAAACAACAAAAAAGAAAAAAATGAAACACCGACATATACATTAATTTCCGTCCAAAGTTTGTTTATCGAATGAAATCGATAGAAGTTTTGCATAATGATGAATTACAGGAGGAATACACAATGAGGAAGTTAATTTGCAATTCGTAAAACGATGTGTATGAACAAATTAATCTGTAACAAGTATTTTCAATGCTTTAATATTATATGTAATTGTAATATTTTATACCCTTTTAATCAATTATTTTATCATTGTTATGAATCGACAGTAATTGGAAATATTTTATAGCATAATACACTTAATTTTACAATTTGAAAGAAATCTCCTTTTTAAAGTAACTTTCTTATTATTATGATTAAATAAAGACACCGAGGATATTAATGTCTAAGCAAGACTTTTCGTATGACAGAGCACGCATTATTATTAATTTAAAAAATTCACGATCATATTCAATTTGACATCAATTAATGCCTTTTACGTTGAAATCGTGTATATTGGAAGTGAAAATCTGTATTTAGTTTTTTCATTTTATGCCTTTAGTTGTCCGAAAATTCATATCTTAACTAGCAATTCTTCTTGTGCCTGTGCAAGTTTTATTATCACTTGAGTATTTTTTATTATTAATATTATTTATTTTTTTTTTTTTTTAGATATATAAGAATGTCTATTATGTTAATAAGACTAATTATTTTATTTTCTATTTTAATCATTTTTCACATTCGCACATATATCGACTAGTATGCATTTAATTCGCAGGCTATCTACTATAAAAATCACACTCGATTATGTAATAATTGTGGAATAGGACAATCATTGAAAAAAGAATTAATTTACCTAAAAAATTGTAGATTTTACAAATAACTGCTTAAAGGGAAATTTGCTTTAATTGTCATAAAAAGCGTTAAAAAACATTCGTTACCTTTATAAATTACATCTTATATTTAACGATTACTATATAATCAATTTTTTTATTTAACTTGATAATTATTTTATTTATAAATACTTTTGTAGAAAATTGCAGTCTCAGTGCATTCTTTTATAAGAAGGGAGCACTTACTAATCTAATTTTGATAATACTCACCATCCAAACAAATATTTATATATTTTTGTAAATCGTCAACGAGAAAATAAATATTTTAAACAAAACAAAACATTTATTGTATTAGCTGGAAACGGATAAAAAAATCTTTAACAAATTAGCGTGTGAATGTATATTATGAGCCAACTAATATAAACGTTTCATAAACATTCCGAATAAAGTTCAACTCTAATAGATAACTCGCTTATCTTACTTACGAAAAAAATTTTTCTTTCGTTTATCTATAAATTTTTATATATTTTTTACTCCTCTTATTCTTTGT